TGGGCCCCCGGCCCCCTGCCCCCTCCCGCCCGAGGCGTGCACCAGGTGTGTCTTCCCTGCACCAGAGGTCGCCGGGCCCGGAACGCCCTCCTCCCAGCGCTCACGGGCAGGCAGGGGACCTCGGAGCCCCAGGAGATGATAGCGCCTCCTAGAGAATCCAAGAGGCCGTGGGGGTTACCCAGACCCGGTGTCCGGGTGCCCTGAGAGTGGGGTAAGGGACTGTGTGCAGGTAAAAAGCAGGCCAGTTGGTGGATGTGCCCACCCTCACCCGACAGCTCCCTGGCTTTCCCTCATTGGCTGCTGTCCCCGGTGCACAGTGGCTTCCGCTGGTCTTAGTGTGTGTGACAGTGTCATACTAACACCTTAAGAGAAGGGAAAAGTGGGGGGGAACGGGGGGCACTGTAGGGCACTGAAGACCGAGACCAGGAAGGAGGAGGGAAGGGAGGGTCAGATAAGGGGCAATGTGATGCGTGGAGACCCAGGCGAATGGACCGAGCCCCAGAGGGGCTGGGCAGGGCTGGGTGAGGCTTTTGAGAGGCGGATAGTGTTATTTGGGGGTTAGAAGTCCCTATCTTTAAGGTCATGGGACACTTGTGAAAATGAGCAAAACTCTCAAATTATTCTTTGCAGTTGGGAAAAAAAGAGCCTTTAGAGACACAGCGGTACTGTTTTCCTGTGCGCTGTCATTGGGGAACACGGTGCGGCTGGAAGGACGGAGTGCAGGACCCAGGCACTGTAGGTCAGGACTCCGGTGCCAGCTCCCTCCACAGATTACATTGCTCCATGTGAGATCTAGAACTGTTTTTGATTGCTATTTCTTCTATGCCTCAGTCTTTTCATCTCTAATATGGAGCAAGCACTTGGATTGGTATGGGTATGAGATATCCTTGGTATGCACATAGAATAGTTTTAGAGGTGCTATAGAATAAGCACAAGGCATATCCTGTCCTTCGGGTGCAGAAAAGTAACGGTACATATATACATGGAACTGTAAATACCTATTTCATTCATTCATTCATTCATTCATTCATTCATTCATTCATTCAATGCATATTTGGGTGTTTACTGTGAGTCAGGCACAGCACAAGGCCCTGGGTAACTTTTACTTGATGTATATTTACCCTACTTTATTCACAAAGAATTTGAAAGTTCAGAAAAAGGAGTTACTACATAAATATACATAGGCTTTCACTGGAGCCTGAGAGATGTCGTAATATTGAAAAGTATGCACTGGGACAAAATTTTAGTTAATCTGGAGGAGGAGAGTTGGAAAATTAGAGAGAACTGGCCTTGTTTCTTTCAATGTCACAAGGAGTGAAAGACATCAAAAAACAAAAAGAACAGAAAAGGTCCTGAGCATTTTAGGGCAAACCTCGAGCTTCTCAGGGCAAATCTATTCCACCATTCCCTGTTCTTCACCCTGCCCTAGCCTCCAGAACCTTAGCTAGACTGGGAACTCATCTCACTCTACAGATTAAGAAGGAATTATTCAACAAACATCCACGAGTCCTGCTGTGTGCAGCCTCATGATTGGTGAACAAGCTGTTGTCCCTGCCTCCAGAAGCTTGGGGTCTAGAAGGGTGGGCTGACAGAAGAAAATAATTCCCAATGTATCGTGTTACTGTATGGCACTATAATAGAGGAAAACTTGGCATATAGGGAAGGCACAATGGAAGGAGTGTTTAGTTAACTCTGTCTTGGGAGCTGGCAAGAGACAGTAGAGCAGAAATGCTCACGGAGTAGGGGAACTTGACTGGAAGCCCTTAGAATGAGTGGCTCCTGCTAATCTACGTGGCTCCTTGGTGTGAATTAGGAGAAGGGCACACACACATCTGGGCAGCAGGCCACTCTCATCCAGGAGCCCTTGTGCAGTGAACAGTGTACACCACCATAGGGGGCACTTGCGATCACTGGATGGACAAAGCGAGAGTGGTAAGAGCGTTTTGGACAGAGAAGACAGCATGAGCAAGGGCACGAAAAGGGTCAGCTCAGCGGGTGAAAGGAGGACAGTGAAGGCTTTGAACTCAGAAATAGTAGGATTGGGGTGGCGAGACCTGATTTAGGAGCTGTCAGGGGAGGATGGGTAGGACTTGGCAACCAGTGAGTGTGTGGAAAGGGAGGAGAGGGAAGAGTGTTGAGGAAGACTCCTGGGTTTTGGTTTTGGGTGACTGAGCAAATGGCGAGGCTTTAATCAGACCCAAGAAGACTGCAGACGGAGCAGCTGGCTCTCATTTTTGTTGCCTGGCTGAATGTGCAGCTTTTCTTTTTTTTCTCTCCCAGTTTCCTGAAGTTGTTCCCCTTAACATTGGAGGGGCTCACTTCACCACACGCCTGTCCACCCTGCGGCGCTACGAAGACACCATGCTGGCGGCCATGTTCAGCGGGCGTCATTTCATCCCCACCGACGCTGAGGGCAGGTACTTCATTGACCGGGACGGCGCACACTTTGGGTATGTTGCTCCCTCTATGATCATCTTTGTAGTCCTAGCAAGTGACTTGCTAGGCATGGCTTGGGCATGGGGCTTTAGTATCTTCCATAGTACCTAGAAGAGGAGATAACATCTGACAGGATTTAATAAATGTGCCTATTAAATGGTATCAAATTTTTTAGTTTCTTTTCCAGAGGAGTCAAGGACAGCTGGAGAAATCCCAGGTAACAGACACTGGCTGGATGGGATGAAACCGCTTCTATCCTACGTAACTTAAGACTGTGGAGTCATCATCTGTGTGGAAAGGAATAGGTGGGATCCCGCCTAGAGGTGGGGGAGTTCCAAAACAACTTCTCGGAGAACACCCTCTGATCAGCTCCCGGGGCTCAGCATTGCCTTTAGGGAGGAAGCATGGTGTGTGGCAGTGGTTCCCAGACTTCTTTCAATAGTTTAAAACAAACAGAAAAGGGAAGAGCCCTGGCCAGTGTTGCCCGGTGGTTAGAGCATCAGCCCTCCAACTGAAGGGTTGCAGGTTCAATTCCTGGCCAAGGGCACATACCTCAGTTGCAGGTTGGATCCCCAGCCCCTGTCAGGGCGCATGTAGGAGGCAACCAATGTCTTTCTCACATCGATGTTTCTCTCTTTCTCCCTCTTTCTTCCCCCTCTCTCTCTCCCTTCCACTCTCTAAAATAAAAAAAATTAAAAAGTGAGGAAAGGGCCAGCATAGGGTTGCCATCCTTTAATGGTGCCCAAAAAAACATGCACCTTCAATTATTACTGTTATTTTAACACTAAAACATGGAAACACAGAATCTCAAAAAATAGCCTTTCCCAGGAAAGACTTCTGACAACCTTGCACATAAACCATTTAAAGACTTTTTATTTGAGTTTCCTTGTTTGTGAAATGAGAAATAATTATAGATGCCTTGCAGGCCTGTCACGTGGATTAAATAAAAAGCGTTGGTGTGACCCCTGGCCTGGTCCTTTCAGAGTATATGGCTGAAACTCTCTTCCCCTTCAGCCTAACTTTGGAGATGACTAAAGAATGAACATGGTCCTTGACCTTGAACAGAATGACCAGGGAGGCAGAAACTCTCCAATCACTACATCTCTCTGATGGCCTCCAAGTAGCATTTCCCACATTGGGAGAAGGGTCATTTTTATCCTCAGAAAGGAGACTCTGGTCAAATAATTTGCTTTGAAGCATCTGGGTTTCTCCATTGGGTTGTCAGCTGCCTCCAGTGCTGAGAAAACAAAGTGTCACATCGCTCTGCAGAGCTATAAAAAGGTTTTTGTTTGCAGGCTGTTTGGGGGAGGAAAGTGCTGGCCCCAGCTGGCAGCTCCCACAACACTGGTGGCTGGGCCTTGCCCTGGGGATATGTTTTTCAGAGCTTACCAAGGTTTGCTTAAGATCCTGGAGGACCAGTTTTGGAAGGGGTTGTGGGGAAGGGGAATAGGATTTGGCTTTAGCTGGAGAGTGACAGAACCAGGCAAGGGTGTTGGGCAGAAAGCAGGATATTGTGGCATTTATCCTCAGACTGCTGGGCTCCAGTGGCCTATGATTCATCATCAGCAGATGAAGTTGTTGAAAGACTCAGATAAATTACTCTGGCTGGGTAGCTCAGTTGGTTAGAGCGTGGTCCCACTGCACCAAGGTTGCAGGTTCAATCTCTGGTCAGGGCACATACGAGAAGAAACCAACGAATGCATAAATAAGTGGAACAACAAATCTCTCTGTGTGTCTCTCCCCTCTCTTTCTGTAAAATCAGTTTTTTAAAAAAGACTCAGATGAAGTAAAGTAGGAATTTAGGGCATTTGGTGGGGTAAATTTCTCTGTTGATGTAGCTCATGTACCTCCATGTGGGGCTGTTTCCCATTGTGATCCTGAAGAGTGCTTTGGATTACAATCTGGACCACTGAGGGTGTTGACTTGGAGTCACCCGTGTCTGCATCTGAGCCTCTAACTGTGGCTTCTTGAGCAAGGATGTTCCTTAACCTCTTTGAGCCCCACTTTTTCTTCATTTATAAAATGGACATAAGGTGGCACTTATCCCATAATATTAATGAAAAGATTCAGTGGGATAACATATATATGGTAGCTGACACAGATTAATACTTAGTGAGTGTTAACTGAAGTTGCATTACAGTCATAGACTGATTATAGAGGTAACAGCTTAATCTTGGAGTTTACTCTTATATCCTTACAGAAAAGCCCTTCCCACACCCATTGATGGATCTGATTACTCTTAGTACTAAAGAACCTTAAAAGAGAATGAAAAGAACTGAATTTTTATTTTAAGAAAATGGAGTATATTATTTTATTCACTCCTGGAACCAGTTTGTTCAGATGTTAGGTTTAGGCATTTGCTCTTCTCCATGCAGCTACAGAATAATACTAATGGTGATATGGAACTCTTCTACATTGCTAGTGGGAATGTAAAATACTACAACCACTTTATTAAACATGCACTATGACTGAACAATTCTACTTCTAATATTTACCCAAGAGAAATTGGTGCAGGTGTTCACAGCAAGTCTTATACAGGAATGTTCATCACAGCTTTACTTCTAAGAGCCCCGATTGGAAACTACTAAAATGTCCATCAACAGGAGAATGGGTAAATAAATTATAGTACGTGTATCCATACAGTGGTGTGCCACTTAAAGCAACAAACTACTGTTGCACATAACAGATCTCAAAAATACTAGGTCAAGGGAAAGAAGCCAGGCACAAAAGAGAACAGACCGTATGATTCTACTTATATGAATTTCAACAAGTGGCAACGTGAATCTTTGTTGACAGAAGTGGAAGTAGGGTGGTTGCTGCCTCTATAGGAATGACTGGGAAGAGACACAGGGAAACTTTAATGAGATGGAAATGTTCTATATCTTGAGCTAGGTGGCAGTTGTATGGGTATATTCATACTTGAAAATTAATTGAATGGCTGCCCAGCCAGCATGGTTCAGCGATTGAGCATTGACCCATGATCCAAGAGATTGAGGTTCACTTTTTGGTCAGGGCACATGCCCGAGTTGCAGGCTTGATCCCTAGTCGGCGGCATGCAGGAGGCAGCCGATCAATGGCTCTCTCATCATTGATGTTTCTCTCTCTCCCTCTCCCCCCTCCTCTCTCTGAAGTCAATAAAGATATATATATATTTTAAAATTAATTGACACGGACAGTGGTGGGGAGAGGGACTGGGGAGGGGGAAGGGATGGGGTGGAATGGGCCATTGGGGAGAAAAAGGCACATCTGTAATATTTTAAACAAAAATAAAATTTAAAAAATAAGTAAAAATTAATTGAATGGTATAATTAAGATTTGTACATTTATTGAACATTAATTTACCTCAATTAAAATATATACAGGGTGAGGCAAAAGTAGGTTTATAGTTCATATGAAAAATAATAATAAATAATACAAGAGTAAACTGTGTTTTGTGTTCTCACAACTATAAACCTACTTTTGACCAACCCTGTATATTAAGAGACTAGTAATATTTTTCATTATTCCTATATGTACCTAATAATAATACCTAATATACCTAATAGTAATTGTAATTATAATAATGATACTGCTGATAAGAATTCTTAACACTTATTGAGAACTTACTCTGTGCCAGGTACTTTATAGACACTTTTTAGATACTAACTCATTTAATCCTCATAACATTTGGAGTAGTTTTCTTATTTTCCCCCATTTTACAGATGAGAAAAATCAAGGCACAGAAAGGTTAAGTTCACTTACCCAAGGTTACACAGCTGGTGGTCCTGTTCCAGATTCTGTGCTCTAACTACTATGTAGCACTGCCCAGTTCCATTGGCTCCTTCTCACCAACCCTGTTTCCTTTTTGCTCAGAGATGTGCTGAATTTCCTGCGCTCTGGGGACCTGCCACCCCGGGAACGTGTGCGGGCTGTGTACAAAGAGGCCCAGTACTATGCCATCGGGCCCCTCCTGGAGCAGCTAGAGAACATGCAGCCCCTGAAGGGGGAGAAAGTACGCCAGGCATTTCTGGGACTCATGCCCTATTACAAAGGTGAGGGGTCAGCTGCCCAGGCTGGGGGATGGGGAATGAGGGTTGCAAGGCATCTGTCAGTGCCTAGCTCTCCCCCAGAACAAGTGGATCCAAGATTCATGTGTATTACTTTAGAGGGGAGAGAATCCCACTCCCTTTCTGCCCTTCCCTCTTTGTCATACTGAGAAGATACAGGTTAAGGGGGGCCCACCTTGCCTGTGATAGTCATCAAATCACATTTCAAAAGGACAGTCCTCCCCAGGCCGGCGTGGCTCAGCGGTTGAGCATTGACCTAGGATCCAGGAGATCATGGCTCGATACCCAGTCAGGGCACATGCTCAGGTTTCGGGCTGGATCCCCAGTAGGGGGCATGCAGGAGGCAGCCAATCAATGACTCTCTCATCACTGATGTTTCTCTCTCTCCCTCTCCCTTCCTCTCTCTGACATCAATAATATATTTTTAAAAAATAAAAAAGGACAGTCCTCATCCCATCTACTTGGTTTCCTTTTGCAGTGGAGAATAATGATCCCTCTTTAAGTTTGTATCCTGCAGAGGCCCAAAGCATCCCTTCCCCCAGGAATCTGTCTCTGCCCTCTTGGATTCTGCCGTCACTGGGGCTCCCTGTGCCCTCTCACTGCCTTGTGCCACAACCCACCTGCCCATCCCCATCCCAGTGATGGCTGCTGTATTCATCTCCATAGACCATTTGGAGCGGATTGTGGAGATTGCCCGGCTGCGTGCAGTCCAGCGGAAGGCCCGCTTTGCCAAGCTCAAGGTCTGTGTCTTCAAGGAGGAGATGCCCATCACCCCCTACGAGTGTCCACTTCTCAACTCTCTGCGCTTTGAACGGAGCGAGAGTGATGGGCAGCTGTTTGAACACCACTGTGAAGTGGATGTATCTTTTGGGCCCTGGGAGGCTGTGGCTGATGTTTATGACCTGCTGCACTGCCTGGTCACAGACCTCTCAGCCCAGGGCCTCGTCGTGGACCACCAGTGCATTGGGGTGTGTGACAAACACCTCATCAACCACTACTACTGCAAGCGCCCCATCTATGAGTTCAAGATCACATGGTGGTGAGTAGTCCAGGCAGGGAATAGAGCCCCTTCAGGGAGGGCGCCCATTCCCCTTAGTGGCTCTGGGAGTCAGATCCCTGGAAGGGCTGCTGACCGCTCCAGAACCTGCTGAGGTGAGGATCGAGTCCAGAGGCACAGCTCCGAGTGGACGGAGGTGCAGCTCTAGTATCCCCTGTTGTTCCTTGGGGTCAGACTCAGGGCTTGTGGCCCACGGGGACCTGCACTCACCTGGTCTTTCCTCCAGGCACGGCAGTCTTTACCTGACGCCAATGGGGTCTGGCTAGCAAGGGCTTGGCCAGCAAGTCCAGAGAGGTTTTGGCACTTTCTTGACCTTGCAAGAGAGTTTCTGCCCTATTTAGAGCCACATTACCAAAATAATATAGGCATAATCACCTCCTCGACCCTGTTCAGGTATTCCTTCCTTGTGCTCAGTGTATAGGTATGAACAGAGAACATGATGGGGATTTATCCAAGTAGCTACTCCACAGTCCCTGGCTAAAGAAGGGGCATCTTCTCTCCCTCTTCCCCCAAGAACCGTCCCCTGCTTTGTTTTAGGATGTGAAAAGGCTCTTTTCCTCCCAAAACATATTCTTCACCACTTTTTGGATATGTAACCATAGTTACCAAAACCATACACCAGGCTGGCCTTAGAAAAGCACAATGTTTACAGCCCTGCTCTGGGCCTTGGCTTCTCCTATCTTCTACCCACCTTCCTTGCTTGAAGGGTTATCCTCTCACAGGGCTGGATTGCACATTTCAGAGGCTCCTTTTGAAGATCCTCTAAGTCAAGCAGGCAATATGTTTACATCTGTTATCTTCAAGATGTAACATCCTTTCTGGAGGCTCAGAACACCTCCTTGGCTGCCATTTCATGTGTCAGGATCCAGTTTGTGGTGAACCCCCTTGCTGGGAACCCCCCCTTTTAAAAAAAATCTTTTTATTTTTCAATTACAGTTGACATATTAATTTCAGATGTACAGCATACAGTAGTTAGACATTTACCTTACAAAGTACCCATCTGACACTATACAGTTATTAAAATATTATTGACTATATACCTATGCTGTACTTTACATTTCCATGACTGGTTTTCTTTTTTCAATTACAGTTTACATTTAATATTCTTTTGTATTAGTTTCAGGTGGATCCTTCTCTTTTTAAAACCTTGCTTTATCCCACTAACATTCTCCTCCTAGGAGAGTGTTTTGGAGAAGTAATGAAAGGGCTAGGTGAGAGGCCCAGCTGTCCCAGCTGGGGGAAGACAGCAGCAAACCCATTGTATTTTACTCCCCACACTTGAGAGAGAGAGAAAGATCCACAAGGTTCTGCTCCCACTGGGTTTCCTTCTCACTGTCTGCAGCCTGGGGCAGCTAGTCAGGGTATGGACATGCATCTCCTGAAGGAAGGCTGTGCAGCACCAGTAATTGGAATGTAACATTTCTTTGCTGCAGTAAGGGCTTCTCCCAGGACTCGTGATTGTACTTGACTATTTCCGGCTGTTCTTGTAGGGAGGTTTTCTTTATATGTGAACAGCTGCTGAGGACAACCTCACTGGACTCAGTCTTACAAGACCAGATTGGTGAGGTAGGGCAAGAGGGAGCTGAAAATGCCTGCATCCTTCTGAGGAAGAGAAGGCCAAGCCCTGGACCCTTGCTGAATTCCTTCATGGGGCAGTGACCGCCTGGCCCTTGGCGTGGGAACAGAGATTCCAGAGCATGGTTTTGCACTCCTACATTGTATTCTTATGTGAGTGGAGCAGAGCAGAGATACGGGCGGAGGTCTAAGAGGACAGTACAGTCAGTGCTGGTTCTGAGATATGTGTTCTCTCTCTTCTCATCCACAATGGAGTGTCACGTTTTTGGAGCTGATGTCCCTGCCTGGAGCTTAGCCCAACAACATGGCTCTTGCCTTGTTCTAACAGTAAAGTCTTTCGTTTAAGTTGCTCTGATTGGTGTTACTAATAAGAGTTCAGTTTTTGACAAACACTGAGGGAAGCTATTCAGGAGGAAGTCAGTGTGAGTAGAGAGCAGATAATTAAGCCCATCGCTTTCAGTTATCTGTCCTTGACCCCTTCTCTTTCCTTCCCCCTGCGCAGCATTCACAGTGCGTGGTGATTTAGTCTGTACATGTAAGACCGGGAGCGGCTCGTATGTTCAAATGCAGGTTTGCTCAAAAACAGGCCCTGGAAGACTTGCTTGGGATGCCCTGTTTCACTAAAGACACCCCTGTTTCTCTGTCCCTCTGTGATGTCCTCAAGGTGGTGTGTTCTGTGCCATTGTGGGGGTACAAGGTTCTAAGGCCAGTAGACCAGGAAGAGCAGGGACACTGGTATCCAGCTTAGAGCTCTTTCTAAATAGAGTAAAAGAATTCAACGATGCAGTTTGGTCATTCTCTGATAAGAAGCCAAGGCCAGTCTGAAAAGTGCTTTTGGATGTGGTTTGTGGTGATGGCCTCCAGATAAAGGTTGTCTCTGAGGAAGTGACTTCTCCCAGTTGGATCCCTTTTTAACTCTAAATGACCAGGCCCAGAGCGTAAGAATGGTTGGGTCTGGAAGGAAGATTCCAAGGATGAATGCTTCTCCCTGATTGAAAGGAAGTATATTTTTATAGAATTTTTGTGCATAATGTCAATAAATGCCTCTCACTCTGACAGGGACTAGATTCCTCCTGCCATGAGACAGGCCAGTGGTTATTGATGGGTCAAAGTGCCTGCCTTTGGAGCTTCCCTTTTGACTTTGGGCACCTTTTCTCCCAGGTGCCGTGCTCACTGGTTGGGAAGGTGGGATCTTTAGGAGATAGGACTGTATGCTACCTTTCGATGCAAGCCATAACAAAATTCAATAGAAATGAAAAACTTAATGGCAACAAAAAAGACAAAACCACAGTGAAACACATTACATCATCCCAGTGGAGGAATTCTTTGGGCAATGCTCTAAATAGAAGAAATAGAGGAATTGTCACCATCCTTATTCTACCTCTGGTGAGTTCACCAGGCTGTCCCCTGCTTATCGTCTGGAAAGCAGTCAGTCCTGCTCTGAAAGCTTCTATTCTTTCTTCCCGGAGCTTAGGATATTCTGGGAACTGTCTGAGCCCCAGGCTAATCAGGTGTTATAATCTTCCTGTTCTGGTTGCTTATTGGAGGACTATGAAATTGATATTTACAAGCCACAAAGAGGGGTGAGTCTCAGTGTGATCTGGTCTAAGCTGGATCCCAAAGAGGTTCAGATGCACAACAACAGAACAAAAACTACCCACACTGAGCATTTTGATCCCAGTTAGAATTTCAAACATCATCCTTCTGCATACCCCCATCTATATTTGATTCTCATGTAAGTGATTCCACTTTCTTGGGTAACATTTTGCTGGGGCTCTTTCATGAAGGTGGTGCCTGCTTTGTGATTCTTAAAAGAGGGGGGGTTTTATTCATCAGAAGATGCAGTATTGGGAACTGGGGTGGGAGAAGCACTTTTTGGAATTCTGAAGAAACATGTATGTATAATATGTTAATTGGGGGTAGGGTGGGTTGGCAGGGGGCTGGAGGAGGTAAGAACAAAGACTAGGTACAATAACAGGCAGTTGCCTCTGGAGTGTGGGAGGTCACCTGGGTCCATTGCCTTCCTTCTGTATGGTGTTGGGTTTGTGTACACAGCAAAACATTCCTGTGTTCTTTCATTGTCTGTGAGCGCTGTGGTGCATGGAGCCTCAGTACCCTCACATTGGCATTAAAGTAAACAATTAGAACGTGGGTGCTGTGCCTTTCTTTTTTAGAGACTTACTCTCATCCCTCCTCGGGCCCTGACTTTGCCAGCAAATATGTCTTGATTTCTCCTTAAAATGTGGTATGTTTACGGATACCACACTTAATGTAACAGGCTCTTTCCTGAGGTTAGCAGATGAACTTCTGCCCTGACTTGAAGTTAAAGAGGGACAGGCCCATGAAGGTCCTTCTGTAGTCAGTCTAGCACTGTCTCTGTCCCAGGTAGGTATACCTAGGCAAACAGCTTTGCGTCTTCTGTTGAGAGGTCTCCAGAGGAGGAAGATCGCACAAATGCATGGTCACTTGTATGGCTCATAACTGTGTCTGTAGTTACGACTGAAATCCCTCTTGTCAGATCACTTTTTTCCAAGGGGGAGATAAGTGGCTCTAAGCATATGTGAACCTCAGTGATTAATACTGTTCCCTGAGGAAAATGGGTATAAGTTGCCCTTCCTCTAAAAGCAGAGTTTTGACATCTTCCTGGCTAATGAGTGTCCTCACAAGGTGTCCCTTGACGTTACTTCATGGATTAACCCAGAAAGGTGAGTTCTGAAGTATTGGGTAGCTGTGCCACCCTCCAACTGATTCCCTTAAAAATGGTGACAGGATTAAGCAAAAAAACCCACCCCACAACCCCTCACTGACACAGACAATAGTATGGTGATTACCAAAGGGAAAAGGGGGCTGTACAGGGGAGAGAGAGAAGAGGGCATGGGGGGATAAATGGTGATGGAAGGAGATTTGACTTGTAGTGGTGAACACACAATACAATATACGGATGATGTATTATAGAATTGGACGCTTAAATCTTTATTAAATAAAAAAAATCTCTGATTATTCTAACTTTTAAAAACACTATCATCTGTGCCAAATGAATTCCTGACCTAATTACTGTGCAGCACTCACATAGTAATAATACACTAATAATATCTTACAAATTGGAAACCGAAGCTTGTAGAGGTATAATTTCCCCAAGGGCACATAACTAGTAAGTGGCAGAGCCAGGATGCAAACCCAGAGCCCTTTTCTGAAATCCTCATGGGTATCCAACAGCAGAGTTTCCCTTCCACTTGACAGCTCAGTGTCCCACCTCTGAGGCTCAGGACTTCACCCTGCCTAACCTATAAAGATCTGAAAAGCAAATACTTTAGAAGGAATATTAGAAGAACTTCCTTATGTGGGTCTTAAGTAGCCCTGAGCATTAAGGAGATAATGGGATCCCCAATGTCTACTAGGTGGTGAAGGGCCCTACTCATGGGACAGCGAGTGGAGGATGACTTGGCAGATGAGTAATGACCCCCTGGCTGGACACAGTGTAGTGGGAAAGTCCTGGACAGTCTGAGTTATTAATCAGACTCGTGCAGTCTACACGTTTAACCACACAGATGTGCTCTGCAGCTTGACCATTTGGGGAGGTACACCCAGGGGCATGGCCCTCCTTCAGGGACCCCTGGTGTCAAGAAAATAGTTGAATCAGAGACTCTGGTTTAGCTCAGGGGATGTCGTGTGCTGGCTTGGGGTTCATGGCCCATGGACTCCAGGTCTCTACTCTGCCTGTGTGCCCTTTGTCATCATTTTGAAGATGATGACCTTTTAGCTGGCTTTACGTACTTTTTGTTTTGACTTGTTTAATTTATCGCCTGTTCCTTTAGCTTCCTTTAGCTTTTAAAGTCAGAGCTCCTGCTTTTGCTTTATTATTATTTTTACTTTTTCAGTTACAGTTGCCATTCAATATATTAGTTTCAGCTATACAACAGTGATTATTTATATAACTTATGAAGTGATCCCCATGTAAGTCTTGTACCCCCCTTGCACCATATATAGTTATTATATTGACTGCATTCCCTGAGCTGTACTTGACATCCCGTGACTAGTAACTGCCAATTTGTACTCCTCCATCCCTTCCACTTTCTCACCCATCCTCCAGCCCCCTCCCATCTGGCTGCCATCAGATTGTTCTCTGTATGAGTTTGTTTCTGTTTTGTTTGTGCATTTATTTTATTTTTTAGATTCCACATAAGTGAAATCATATGGTATTTGTCTTTCTCTGATTTATTTCACTAAACTTTTATTTCTATCATAACTTTTAAGTACATGCTGAATAGGATGCCAGTGAAGGTAGATCTTGTTCTGAGCAGGAATAATTATGTGCTCTTTTCCTTTTCTAGTCATTTCTACAGTGATCTTATTAGCCGTGAGCATTAGGTACTTCATTTTTCCCGTTAGAGGAGTATCTCCTAACATCTAAATACAGTGGTACCTCGATTTTCAAGCATCTCTGATGAGGAATATTTCAGTTTATGAACGCCCTAAACCCAGAAGGAAATGCTTCGGTTTTCAAACGCGCCTCGGAAGTCCAACCTGCCACGCAGCTTCCGCTGAGGGCAAGATCCTGAGGCCCAGCTGTTGGTTGTGGATCCCTCGGTTTTCCAACGTTTCAGAACTCGAATGGCCTTCTGGAACAGAGTACATTTGAAAACCAAGGTACCACTGTACAAGGAAAAACTGATAGTGTTGTTATCAAAGTTATAGATCCAGTAGATGTATAACTACATCTAATAGATAATCCAAGTAACCAAACTGTTACCTCTCTCTCCAAAATGCCCCCCTCCCCCAAAAATAACAGTAAATACAGCCTTAGGAACAGGGCCGTTCCATTTTTGGACTGCTAAGGACTTCTTCCCTCACACACTGCACACGATCAGAGATCCTGGGATTTCACCTCCAAGTGGAAAGAGGACTGTTGTGTACCTGGAAAAAACCCAACACAACTATGAGGAAGACTGAATGGAACCATCTTGAACCATTCAGAAGCACTTCATAAAAAGGGCCCATAATTAGATTATGATGCATATTTTCCAGCCTTCTGTGATCTCAGTAGCAACCTGGTGACTTTTAGAGGATGCTCCTAATTTATTGCAGACCCTGATGTTTTCCTACATCATGGGATCTCGGCAGATGGCCTGGCTCCAGTAGATCTTTGAAATAGACCTACCCATACTTCTCTCAGTTATTACTAAAAATCAAGAAATAGAACTTTAACGTACCACAAAACCCGGAGCTTGACCTCTATTAGAAGAAATTTACAAGTTGTGTCAAATCTTATACCTTTGTTATTTTTGTAGAGGGAGTGGGAGAGTGTCATGAGTAGGCTAAAGTGTGTGCCAACCTCTATAAATGCCTTTATTAGTGTGTGTCTCAACATTACATCCTGATCACCAGTTGTACTTTAGCTTATTCTGTCTGCGCAGGGGACCATCTGTGTGTACATGTTGTGGGTGCTTACTTTCCCTCCTCTCACCAGGTCAGTTCCACCTCCTCTTGCTCATGACTGTCTTGTCTTAGGCATTTTATAGCTGGTTGGCCACTTCTGGCCATGCCTCATTGGCATCTGGTAGCCAGCTGTGGCAGTGACACTGTGCCCCGGGCTGCCCTCATCTTATTCTCAGGCAGATAAGTGCTTTTTTGCACTGAGGTCCCTAGCTTTCCATTTCAGCTTTCTCATCTGGCCTGCTGGGATTTGGAGAGCATTTGAGCCCCGTCTCTGAGCTCTGTACCCACCTCCACAGCAGCAGCAGAGGATCCCACTGAGCAGACAGCTTCACCCTCCTTTACCCCAGGAAGGGGGAATCAAAATACTTACCTGAAAACCGAGTTCACCAAGAGTTCCCTAACGAAAATATGAACTTCCCTGGTGAGCTGACCACATCACCATTAGCTGAAATAACAGTAGCATTATTCACTTGGCCCTCCCATAAACCAGGGCAGTGTATCTGCCTCCAGGCATATTCAGGGAATGTTCCACCATATTGCTTAATATTATTTTTCAAAGTGCAGTTCTATTTAGAAACTTCCATTGGTCCAGAGAGCCAGAACAGTGAGGAATCCCCTCTGTAGTCACTGCAGGAATATTCCACCACTTCCATTAGCTGGGCCTTTAGCCCAGAGGATTCCACTGGGGTGAAATTTACTACCTGATTTTAAACCCTTGTTGTGATCCTTTTATGGCAGCAGCACCTGAGGGGTAACTTGAATTTGTGGATTAAGATCAGAGGTAGAATTCCCAGATAAGTCCAACCAAAGTATCTGCATGATACAGGAATGTTAGGTGGAAGGTTTTCCAGATACTCAACTGCCCCAGGCTTTCTGGGGCTTATCAGCAGTACTGGTCATTGGTTCATGACCTTCAGCTTCCTCACTTGACCATTTTAGGAGGTGAGCTCCCCAATCCCTCTCTAAAAACCCATCATTCAAATAGTTGAAAACCCTGTACATCTTTTCTCCTATCCTGGTCTTACACCACCAAAGCATCCTTCAGCACCTTGGTAGAGATCACAAGAAGGCACAAGGATAGGTAGCATCTGTCCCTTGTTTCTACATCTCCATGATGCTGACATTGGCCAAGGCCAACAACCCTTGTGGGTATAAGAGTTTCAATGTCAACAGATTCAAGGTCTAGAGGCACCATTTGAAGGAAACCCCTTCAGAGATAGCTGTTCACAACAGCCTGGAGCAGTCAAACTGAAACTGGGAGCTTGGTCCACACAGTGAGGGCTGGCTAAGTTTTTCAAACATTTTGGCTTCAGAAGATGCTCCATTACATATGCAAAACCCCGAGAAGCCAGCAAATGAATTCCAGCTCTGGTTGTAGTTGACTGAGAAAAGCCACTGCGAACCACAGGTAGGTACCCATGTGCAACAGAGGCCAGCCAAAACACAGAGCTTCCCAAAGTGAATACGAAAAGGAGTTGTATACCCTAACAATGGCTGATAGGTGTGCCAGGAGAGGAAACTGTACTCACATGCTCCTGATCCACCCTATTGCCATCCCATGTGCCTTTACTTTTCACCCATTCAAAATGGGAAGTAACATATAGAGACTTCTTGAGACTTTACATCTGACATATCAATCTATACGTCTCCTTGGGTGATCTTGTCTGAATTGCATTTAGAGTCCAGGAGGGAAAAACAACACACTAATTTGAACA